CTCGCTCCAGTTTGATTAAGCTGTTGCTTTTAATCAATAAGACAGAGTTTATAATTTGTGGACCATCGTTGTTTATCTGTGATAATTTTATTTTAGTAAATATTAGTCCTTCCAAAGTAAAACAAAAAAAACCGTCCATGTTTTCTGCTAAACTGAGTCCATCACGTAGGTAAGTTGAGGACTTAGCGTACTTTGATCAAATGTTTAACTTTTGTGATGACTCTAAGAATAGTGGGGCTTAATTTTCAGTGTGCTACACAGTGAGTAATACCATTGTACATAAAGGGAGATGGGGAAATTCTCTCCTATTCCTGATGTTCGTTGCCTGCCATTTCCGTACTGCAAATATTAGTTGCCACTTGATATGACTGTTAAGTTTCTCCGGCATCACCGATACCATTTATATCACTGTCTTTTGGCTAGTAGCAATCACTACAGCCACACAGACACATTCTGTAATGACTTGATTCCTGCAAGATCTGAGCATCTCATTCCTTTTTTCTAGAGGCCCAATTGCCTTCAGTGATGACACAATATTACTGTGCTCATTTTCACAATTCACACGTGAGTATCTGTTTATTAATTTTAACGTTTTTTTCAGAACATGATTAATTGAAGGCAATTAAGAAGCAAGTTCAGTACTGGAATTAATTAACTAGAATCTTTTTTTTAAAAACACACCCGAGTTGGCAACTGGACTCTCGGCATTCTTGGATCCCCAGGTCCTGGGGTGAAAAACTGATGTATGCGGAGGATGGAAAAATCAAGCTGTTTGCCATAATTTAAAATCAGAGTTTGGTTTAGAAATGAAAAGCATTGAAAATGTACATATGTGCCACTATCATCATTTTCCCTATTCAGGGAGTGAGATCCCATCCTTCCTGTCTGAAGGCACAGAATCCTGATAGACTTTCCTATTGGATCCACAAATATATCATCATCCACAAAGACATTTCTTGTCAGTGAGCCTGTGATTGTCAGCAACACATTCAGCATTAAGGGCACGGAGATCAGGTGCATGATCCTTCCTGCTGCACTGTTGGATCAGTTAACTCTGTCCAGACCAGTAGAGAAGTTTGGGGTCTTCCTTTTTAATTTGTTTGTATGTACTCAGTTTAGATATTTAAAGGTAGCTTTCATTATAAATAGGTTTTTGACATTCAAAGTTCTTAATGATTTGGAAATTCACTGTCCAGATCCTGAGCATCCACTGGTCAAGACCATTCAGGATCTTAAACACTTTAATCAAGTCACTCCTCATTGTACTGAAAGAGATACAATGTAGTTCTTCATTTGGAGCTGGTGTACTTGGTCACCAGCTTTGTGCCCTTCGACATGCCATGCTTGGCCAACTCCCCAGGCAGCAGTGGTGGTCTGGATCTCATGGAGCTGATGGTGCTGCAATTGTAATGGGCCAGACAGAAAGTCTCCCCTGCAATACACTTGAAAACTATCGTTGACAGACGAGTTCATGATGGTCATGGCCTTGGAGGAGATGCTGGTGTTGGGGTGAACCTGCTTCATCACTTTGTGGATGGAGTAACTTTCTTTCCTGGGCATTCTTCTCTTTTTGCCTCTTCACTCGCATCATCTGGATGATTTTCTAAACTCTAGTAGAAACAAGCCCATCTGTCCAAACTTTCCTCACAGGACACTCATTCCCAGAATCAAATCTCTTAAATCTCCCCTGAACTGCCTACAATACATTTGCATCTTTCCTTAAATAATATGCACACAATATTCGAGAAGCATTGCCCTGTCTATGTGTGATGCTATTCAGAGAGTCATTGTGGACTTGATGGGCAGAATGACCTGCTCCCAGACTGTAGGGATTCTATGATAAATTTCTGGTCTATAGTAACAGTGACAGTGAGAAGTCAGTGATTGATAATGCTATTGAATGCCAAAGGAGTATAGCAAATATTTTTTCTTGCTGGAGAGAGGAGTTGCTCTGGAGGAACCCTGGCTGATATTTCCCTTCCATATCTAGCAGCACCAATGCCTTGGCTACAACTGGCAGATGAAACCAATATGAAGTCTTATATGGCTGTTCAGAGTGAGTGTGAAGACCCCAATGGCCCTGCTTGAACAGCAGCAAGATTCTTGGTGTTTTAAATGATTAATATTGCAGGGATTTTGCTATGTGGAAATAAAAAAGACATTGTAAGTGGCTGTGTTAGGCATGGTATGATATCACTGTTCATCTGGTTTCCTATGACTGCTTTCTTCCCTGACTGAATTATCTGTCCCCAGCTCCTGCTGTGTGAGGCATGGAACCATGATCAGAAACGGGCATTGAAGGAATCTGCGAGGCAGAAATCACCATATATTCTGAAACGACAGCTGAATTTCATCAACAAATGGCCTTACATCTTGTGGCGCTTCCTTGGGCTCCCAGTCCGCTGACTCCTCCTGCAGGTCCACAAAATGAAGAGCAGCACCCTCCTGCCTGCTGTGTAAAATCACTTTGTAAAGCAAAACATTAAATAAAATCAATGTGTGGATGGAAATGAATTATGGTGCAGGACAGGCAGCAGTCTCTCACAGTCTGTCTGGGTGAAAAACTTGTTAATGATTATAAATATTCACAACTATGCAGCCTTTGATTCTCATTAGCAGCCAGAATGTGTGGAAACTGATCAGTTTGTAATCTATTCCTAGAGTACCAACTGTAAAAAGCAAGGTCACCTCAGGTTCATAATAACACAAGACACAGGAACAGGAGTAGGGCATTCAGGCCCTTGAGCCTGCTTTGCCACTCTGCCTCATATTCACTTTCCTCCCCTTTCTCTGTAACCTTTAATTCCCTGACTGATCAATAATCTCTCTCAGCCTGAAATGTACATGAGGACTCTGCCCCCACAGCTCTCTGTGGAAAGGAGTTCTGAAGACTCACTGTTCTCTCCCTAATAACATGGAGCTGACCAGTTTCCCCTGCCCACAGCTTCTTAGCTTCATAGCTTCAGTGGCCTGGAGAATAGCCATGAGGTTCTGTTTCTGATCGATTATCCAGCAATCCCTGATGTACGTGCTTTACTGACACACACAGTTTAGAAATTGATGAAGTTTTGCCCCTTTGATGTTGGTTCACATTAAGTTAGGACAGGTCACCAAACTAATGGCCCCAGGTTAATGAGTTATATTCACCATTCTCAATGCCATTACTAACCTGCAAAAGTTGACCTGTGTTACAAATGTTTATTGTTCCAGGCTATCAGCATGGGAAAATAGCAGAGTTATTAATACACTCATCTTCATTACAGCTTAGGACACACAGCCCGTCTCTTTGTCCCTTGCCTGTTCCCTCTGGTACTGATCAAAATCAGACAATGATTGATGGGAGAGGGTGGGCTAAGCTGTAGGAACCACAACCCAACATCTCATTACCTTAAAACAGACAACTTTATACAGAATACAAATCACATCTTTGATTCTGATTTCTGCTAAATAATGCTGTCAGAACCACATAAGGCTGCTTGAATGTTACACAACTGCTGTAATTAAATGAAGAAAAAAAGGTCAAGTGAATGTCTCGTGATGAGGGTGACCTTGAGACCCCTCTGGGGCTCCAATATGATCGCCAAAGTGAAGTTGCATCTTTTAAAGCCGCAATTTTATGATGTTGTGAGGCAATCTTACCTCTTTAACAAAAGACAAAGAAATTGGATTGAGCTAGTTAGAGCCAACGTAAGCTCCATTGGCCGAGAGCTGTCAGGAGGACTAGTGACGGCTTCCAGGAGGAGTATTGCTGAGAAATGATGAGGGTGACAGTCTTTGCAAATGAACAATATGAAATGACAGAGTTGCTGATTAACCAAAACTAGTGTACAGTTGGCACACCAGGTTTATTCCTTCTCCTTCCATCCCCATTCATTTGCTGTCTCCCACACACTATTTTCCCACAACCTTCACATTCATCCCTCACCCAGGTTCTGGAGTTCAATATAGAGAGGCACGTGTGAGAAAAGAAGCAAATATAGAATGAAAAAAGAACAAACTAGGAGGAGATGGTTATTGAAGCAAAAGAAAGATGGATCAATAGAGTGAGTGAGTGAGAGAGGAAGACAGATAAAGCTAGGATTCTCTCTAGTTGGAACATGTAAAACAATTTAACATTAATATCTTATCATGGAGCAGGGAAATGCTTACTGTTCCCTCCAGAATCCCTCTAGATTCAGAGCTGGTGTGAATGGAGTAAGGGTTTAGCAACCCCTTGTGAAGCCTTCAATATGGTTTAAACGATCACCGTGTCTAGGCTGACAATGATGCTTATAGCTATCAGCCACGCACAGGTAAGAGGAGAAAAGACTCCCAAAGAAAATAGATCCCCATACAGATCCCCACCAGTCAACTGCCAATCTCACCCCCACCCCGAAACCCCACCCAACTCCTACTCCTGACTTTTCCTAGGCCGAATACCCAAATTACTGAGGATGTTCTGCAAACATTACAATAATTACAACTGTATCCTAATTATGCAGTGAGTAGTAACACATTTTTTCTAAAGAATACATTGAAGCAATTGAGACCTGGTTGGTTGTAGTGGATGGCACTGATCCAGGTTGGAAAGATCACTTTTAGATGATTTATTTACTGTTCCCATACCAGTATGCAAGTATGGATCGGTAAGAACATACACACAGGGTCAATGACTGTTTAATCTTCCACTCTGGTAGGCTCAGGAATTCTCTGTTCCAATTTTATCCAAAGTTTGTTTGAACTAGGTGATAATCATTTCTAATTAACAACAAAGATAAAAGGAATCATTTGCTAACAGCAAATGTCAAATCACTTGATACACCTTAAAGGTGTAACATGAATGCAAAGCTCCTGGAACTTCTGTCAATCCAATCAAATTAAGATTACGATTTGGTTAAAGCCAAACATGTTCTCATTTTCACTGAACAACCTTCAAGAAAAGCTTGATGTGGCTGATGTAATTGTAAACCCCATCACTAGAGTTGTTTTGCATTGTACAGAAAACCAGCTCTTCACAGAGGTTGGATTTGCAGTGGGTGAAATCTCAGAACGGTGTATGGGAAAAAGGTAGCACCTCAAACCGATCCAGATTCTCCTCCCAGATGTTTATGTACAAATTTGAATGTAAGGCTTTGGTCTAGTCTTTCACAAGTTTATAGATGTGATGCTGAGCTCCATGTTCACTAGTCGAAACTTCAAAGACGTATGCAACACACAAGAGGAGTTCTTGTGTGTCTCTGTTGGTTACCACCTGGAAAAGATTGAAGAATACTAAGGTAATAATTCAAATGGAAATTGAACAGTGAGGCAGAGACACCAGGAACCACAGAATAAGAGTACACTGGGCTATGAAGTAAAACAAAGTGAGAAACAATGAACAAGTCAGAGATATGGCACACTGTACAGATGTAAAAAGAAGCAAAAGCTAAAAAAAGTCTGAATCCAGAGGTTGAAGAGGGAAGCATTAAAGTGAAGGTTGATTTGCGAGAATACTGTGTGCAGTTTTGCACATTGTGTGATGTAAAGGTTACTAGAATTATAGAAAACATGTGATACAGATTCAGTGGGGAAAACACTAACGATAAGAACTTTTGTTATAATTAGCAACAACCATCCCTGCAGAATGGTGAAATTCCCCAAAACTCTCTTCATCCTATATTTCTCTGGGAGGTGCTTAAGTTTAGTTAATCAGATATTTGCAAATTGAAGAATGATGAAAGACTTAAAGAACTAGGGTAATATACACTGGCATATAATGGGCATACATACTTAGATCTGATAAATAAAAACTCAGAGTCTAAAAATTATGGTATATATCATTTCAAATGGTTATTGAAGCTAATCAATTCACAATGGCCAAGGGTGAGCAATCATTTGAATAGCAGAAAAGCTATGAAAAAAGAAGTAGGTAGCTGTGTGGATGGATACAGTGAGAGACTGACAGTGGCAGTGTTGGATGAATTAAACGCCCTCTTTACATAAATTGTCATACCTGCAGAATGGTGAAATTCTCCAGGACACTATTCATCATATACTTCTCTGGGAGCTGCTTAAGTTTGTGTATAAAGTTAATCAGATATTCACACATTGGAGAACGACGTATTCGGTACAGAAAGCGGCCATTTTCAAACCGGGCATATTCTGTCTGTGAAAGGAAAACAAAAACTCATTCATTCATAAGGAACTGGGGCAATGAAGAGCTGGAAACCAACTGGCTCTCACTTCTCCAACAGATAACCTGGTCTAAAGGAAACAGAGAAATAACAGAACTACAATAGACCAGACAGGGTAAAATGTTAGGAAAACTTCTCTCCCATCTGTATGACACAGAGAATGAAACCTCTGGGAGGTGCCATTGTATCTCCAATTTGGTATTTTTTCTATTGAGCCATGGTATACAAGGTCCTGACTTGCACCGTGCTCCACATGTGACACATTAATGGTGGGTCCTGGACGTACTCACTGCGATGCACCTATAAGCTACCCCATAAGATAGATGAGAGGCATGTCAACGTTCACACTAGACAAAGGGCATGAACTGTAGAAGAACCCATAAAGAGTTACAACATTTAAAAGCCATCTGGATGGGTTTATGAATAGGAAGGGTTTAGAGGGATATGGGCCAAACACAGGCAAACTGGACGAGTTTAGTTTAGGGAGACCTGGTCAGCATGGATGAGTTGGACCGAAGTGCCCATTTTTGTGCTGTATGACTTTATGACTAAATGCAGAACACTGGCACGGTGGCTCAGTGGTTAGCTGCCTCACAGTGCCAGGGACTTGGGTTCGATTCCACCCTCGGGCGACTGTCTGTGTGGAGTTTGCACATTCTTCCCGTGTCTGCGTGGGTTTCCACCGGTTTTCATTTTCTTTATTCATTCACGGGATGAGGGTGTCGCTGGTGAGGCAGCATTTATTGCCCATCCCTAATTGCCCAGATGGCAATTAAGAGTCAACCACATTGTTGTGGGTCTGGAGTCACATGTAGGCTAGACCAGGTAAGGATGGCAGTTTCCTTCCCTGAAGGACATTAGTAAACCACATGGGTTTTTCCTGACAATCAACAATGGATTCATGGTCATCATTAGACTGTTAATTCCAGATATTTATTGAGTCCAAATTCCGCCATCTGCCATGGTGGGATTTGAACCCAGGTCTCCAGAACATTATCTGGGTTGCTGGACTAAGAGTCCAGTGATAAAACCACTAGGCCATCACCTTCTCAGGTGCTCCAGTTTCCTCCCACAATCCAAAGCTGTGCAGGTTAGGTGGACTGGTCATGCTAAATTGCCCATAGTGTTCAGGGATGTGTAGATTAGGTGGATTATAGGGGGATGGGTCTAGGTGGGATGCTCCAAGGGTCAGTGTGGACTTGTTGGGCCAAAGGGCCTGTTTCCACACTGTAGGGATTCTATGATGATTCTATGATGACTAGAACTTCTACCTAGAAATTGTCAAATCTAAGAAAGTGTGAACTTACTTCGACCTTTTCTACAACTTGTTTTCCAAAAGAGCAGACCTTAGAGGAACAGGTGATGGTCATGTTCTCAGCACTTTCATACTGGCTGGTGACTCCATAGAACATACCTGCTTCATCTTGAATATGAATGCTAAGATCAGCCTACAAAAAGAAGCATCAAGAGTTTGGTCAGCTGCAAATTAAAACTAAACACTTCTCCTTCTCGGTTTTGGTTCAGATTCGCGGTTTTTCAGTTGTTTCTTATCCCTCTGGCTGGAGTTCTGTATGATCACTGTTGCAGGCGAGACTTGCTATGCTAATCTTTCACACTGTGAAGTCTGAGAAAACAATCCAAATGTAAAATAACCACCTCTTGTGAAGTTCAGCTTTTATGACATTGTGTTTACTTAAAGCACAGTGTGTGTCATGCAAGGAGAGGACTCTGCTTTTAAAAAAAACTGGAAACTGAGCTCCTCAATCATTTATACTGACCCAGAATTTTACAAGGAAGAAGGTGTTTGGTGTTCCTTTCTCAAACAGCTCCTTCAATCCCCCTTTCTTCTCCGGAAACTTATCATAGATTTGGCGAATGTCAACTGATTCAAGTAGAGCTTCATTATAGGAAGGACTTGACTGACCAATGTGGACAAAGAGATGTTTATTGTACTGCAAAAGGAAGGTCAGAAAATGCACAAGTTTGAATACTCCACATGATAAATTTCAGTTAAACATGAGGACACAACCAGCCATTAAACAGCTTTAATCAGCCAATGATTCTAGACCAGGCCAGAAAAAGGGAGACTATATGTGATCCCTCAGAGACAGGACATAATCTAGTATATTACTCTTGGAATACCCCAAAATACCCAATCCAAAATCAAAAATAAAAACAGAAATTACTGGAAAGAATTAGCAGGTCAGGCAGCATTTGTGGAGAGAGAAACAGAGTTAACATTTCAAAAACATGACTTGTTTCTCTCCATAAATGTTGTCTGACCTCCTGAATATTTCCAACATTTGCTGATTTCATTTCAAATTTTTAGCACCTGCAGAACTTTGCTTTTGTATCAATACAAAAGCAGCGCAGACAGGTTCAAAGATCAAGCAACCTGCTGCATGACTGAATGTTCATGCAACAGGTGGGCGACAGTGACAGAGGATTAAAAGAAATGCAGAAGCCTGTAACTAATATTAAGAACGGTTACAATGCTATAAGGTACACAGACATAAGTATTGCATACATGCCCAAGCACGGTGAGTAATGTGGGACCATAATGCATCTGTAAACTTAAATAAATGCAATCAAAGGGTGTTAAAAAAAAACAGTTGGCTAAAATGGACTGGGAAAATAAGTTAAATGGTGGAGATGCAGTGGCAGACATTCAAGGAGACATTTCATAATTCTCAAAAGTACATTACAATGGAGAAGAAAAACTCTACCAGAGGATACACCATCCATGACTGACTAAGGAAGTCAATGGTAGAATTAAATTGAAAGAAAATTTTGAACAATGCTTTGGGAATTAGTGGTAGTCCAGAGATTGGAAAAAATTGAAATTCTGAAGGAGGAATTGGAGTAGGAGAGAAACTAGCAAAAAATATAAATAAACAGTTTATAAACAAGAAAGGAGCAGCTAAAGTGTGTATTGTTCCCTTAGAGTGTGAGATTGAGAAATTAATATGGGAAACAAGAGAATGACAGAGACTTTGAATAAGTATTTTGTATCTCTCTTCAGATATTTAATTGTCTTCTGTAGAAGACAAAGTATCCTAAGAATAGTTGAAAATTACAACTCCGTGGTCCTAGGGTTTGAAATGGAAGTGACAGCAGAGGTAGTGAATGCACTAACTGCAATCTTTTAAAACTCCCTAGATTCTGGAAAGGTCCTAGAGGATTTGAAAACCACAAATTAACATCTTTGTTTAAGGATGGAGGGAGACAAAAGGAAACTATAGGCCAGTTAGTCTATCATTTGTTGTTGAAGAAATGCTAGAATTCATGAAGGAATTAGTAGCAGGACACTTAGAAAATTTTAATAGAAAATCAGGCAGATTCAACATAGTTTTGTTAAAGGGAAATCATAGTTGACTAATTCATCAGAGTTGTTTATGAATGTAACGAGCAGGTTTGATAAACAAAGTAGGTGTAGACATCTAAAAGATACTCAATAAAGGTGCCACATAAAAAGATTACTCCAGGAGACAGGAGCTCATGTTATTTGCGGTAGGAGATGCATTAGTGTGGATTGAGATGGCAATGACATCAGTAGCATTAGTGGAGAAGAAAGATGCCTTAATAACAAACAGGGTGAAGCAACAAATGTTGTAAATATAACAATAATGTCTTTAAACATTTCCAAAAGGCTTTGCATAGACCAGATTATAAACCTTCTTTCACCTGACATTACAAGATGACTAACAAAAGGTGCACTTACAGTATCTTGATCCCTTTGTTGTTCCATGAAAGCCGAGAATTCTACAAGCCTGATCTTTGTAGTTCCAATGCAGCGGCCCTGCCAGGCAGCATGGCAACTGGCTGGCAAAAGACCAACTGAAGTATTGTCATATCCTGCATGGAAGAAGCACAACTTTAAATCTATTAATCTTTGTCTTCTGTGGATCTGGCATCAGTGCCCAGCATGTTTCATTCTTTCAACAATTTATACAACACAATACAATCTAGTAACCAACCAGTCCGCCTGTATTAGTCAGGAATTACCTACATTACTGTGAACTTCTCTCAGATTGAAAGCAATTAAAATGATGCATTGAGTCAGCTGATCTGAGTCAATTGTAGTAGAGATCTGACAATTTGCTTTAGGCAATCAGCCAAATATTGAGGAAATGTTACTCCATAATAGGATCAATGTGCAACAGCAACATTAACCCAATACTACACAGCAAGAAAAATCACACAATGGCAGCACCAAATCAAGACCGTATAACACCAAGGTAACCTTTCTTACCCAAGAGTGGAGCATGGTTTACACTTGGTTGAACAGCAAACGGTTGTTGGATGAAAGGTTTCACACTGCAAAATAAGGATACAGTTTAACTCAGAAACAATGACAACAACAACGTCCCTGAACCCAGCACTGCGTGCTGTGGAAACAAGAGTCAGTCATACCCATCCTACGTAGATCTCATATCATGGATAACATCGTAAAACATGAAATTCATGACTTTCTTTGATGTGACTTGTAGTTGCAACTTGAAAACACTGCAGTTAATATTCTTCCTGTTTGTCAGTCAGCCAGCAGAGGACACAAAGCAACGATGAAGGGAGGTAGGATTCTGGTCAGTGTTGCCTCATATAGCATACCATGAATCAGAAACTAAATGGAAAGCAAAACAAGTTCATGTACATCCCATGGCGAGTCAGTGCTTTAAGCTTCAGCCATTTGGTATACAATTTGTGTGCTTTATTTACTTGAAGAAGGTGCACAAAGGATTAGGAGAGACAGATAGCACTATAGGAAGAAAGAGTAAGGTATTAGGTGGGCTCAGAATAAAATGGAATACAATAAGGTTTGAATTAAGTTTACAGAGCATGTACATAAACACAAAGTGTAGAATTCAAGATTGACAAGGAACAAATAGCTGTAAGGGAATAAGTTGGCATAACAACAATGGAGACTTGGTTTAAAAAGACTTGGGTTCTAAGTATTCTTAGACACATGATGTTCAGAAAACATATGGGAAAATCAACACTGCCAATCCTCATGTTTCTTTAACTAACCTATTATGTTGCTGGAGAAGATATCCTGCAGGGTCAAGGGTAGAATCTATTGTACCATAACTAACCAAACAAGAAGTATCCTTATTCTATTGGGCGTAAGCTATGGGCCAGCAAATACTGGGAAAGAAACAGCCAAGTAAACTTCCAGGAAAATTCAAGGGCTGTTTATATAAAAAAAATGTTACAGTGCAAAGGCCAGAGGAAGACTTTCAGAAGTATGTTAAGGAGAATATTCTTGAACAGTAGATTTCTGGCCCATTGACGGGGAGGCGAGCAATTGCTCTGGTTCTTGGGAAAGAGGTAAGACAAGTGTCAGTATGAAAAATGATCACTGTATTTTTGATTAGCTATAGAAAAAGTGATAAGGAGTGGTCTAGCATAAAAATATTGAATTAGAAGACATCAAGCTCGCTAGGATGAGAACATATCTGTTTATGATAAATTGGAATAAAAAACTGACAATCAAAACAGTAATAGATCAATGAGTTTTCTTAGAGGAAATCGTTTGGATGCAGTTGAGGTACATTCCAATAAGGGGAAATAGTAGGGCACCCAAAGCTAAATTTCCCTGGATAACGAAATGGAAAATAAGGAGCACACGATAAAATGAAACAACGTGTTGAGAAAATTGAGGGAGCATTCATGGAGAGAGAAAACAGAATCAACATTAAGACACTTCGTCAGAACTGAGTCATATCTTTAGAGTTATATCAGACTTGGAACATTAATTCTGTTTTTCTCTCTCCACAGAGACTTCCAAATCTGCTGAGTTTCTCCAGCACTTTATTTTTATTTCAGATTTCCAGCATCTGCAGTACTTAGCCTTTATTTTAGCATGTGATAAAGGGCAGGTTGATAAAATGAGAAAGTTCAGAGGAGAGGCGGGAAAAGAATAAATAGGCCAAGACAGAACATTAAAAATTCAAACATGGAGTGCCATAGGGATCAATACCGCAATTATTTACAATTTACATACATCACTTGGTTAAAGGAACCAAATGTGTGGTTGTTAAATTTACAGATGACATAAAATTAAGGAAATTAAATTATTTGGAAGACAGAGTTTAACTATGCAATTTAGATAAATAGCTTAAATATGTGGGGGGAAAATGGAAGGTGGAATATCAAGTGGGAAAATATAAACACTTTGGCAAGAAGAATAGAAGACCAGAATGTTACTTAAATAGAGAAAATAACAAAACTCAGCAGTAAAGGGGAATCTGGAGGAGTTCATACATAAAAAGCTAGAATGCTGGTATGGCAAGTGCAGATAATGGAATTTATTGAGAGGAGAATGAAATGCAAAACTAAACAGGGTTTGCTACAATTAATAAGGTGATGGGGAGACTACATCTGGAGTACAGTGTACCATTTTGTCTAACTTGAGAAAGGCGATATAATAGCAGTAGAAGCAGTTCAAAAAAAGGTATATTCAACAGAATCTGGGATGAGGAGGCTACCTTAAGAGAAAAGGTTAGGCAGCTGGAGTTTAGAAGAATAGGATGTCAAACATATAAAATCCTGGGGTGATTTGACATGGTGATATGGACAGCTGTTTCCCTGGTGGAAGTTGGAGATGAGGAGCTTTTTATTTCTTTGAGGGTTATTGATGTATATAACATTATTCCCCAGACTGCAGTAGAGGCTTGGATTATTGAATAATTTTAAGGTGGAGTGGGTAGATTTAGGATAGTCAAAAGATTAAAGGGGCTTGGCAGGAGATCAGAATTCACACTACTATCAGATCAGCCATGATCTTTTCAAATGGTGGGGTAGGATAGATAGGCCAAATGAACTGCACCTGATTAGAATGCATATGTTCATCCATATCCATGAGAAGAGATGGAAAACAACGTAAAATGGAAATCAAACTCTTCTAGAATCACATAAAAGGGTTGGGAGAGGAGGAAAAGGGGCAGAAAGGCGCACCAAAAAGGGCAAGTGCATGGATACAGAATACATTACTGAGGTACTAAGAGATTACAACAGCGAAAGGTCACCAACGTGAAACACTGACTCTGACAAGGATGAGTTGGTTAAAAAGGTGTATTTAAAGCTGGTAAAGCATCAGGACCAGTTCGGATGCAGTTGAGAATCCTGAAGGAAGGAGGAGGAGTGTAAGTTATGGAGGTACTGCCTGTAATTTTTCAATCTCACTCAGATATGGAAATGGTACCAGAGGACTGGAAAACTGTAAATATTACACACTTGTTCAAAAGAGGAAGGTGTAAATATAAACCCAGTAACTACATCTTGGCTATCAAGTGTGGCTTAATTAAGGAAATACAGCCCAGATTTGAAAAGCCAATTGTGTTTAGCTGACTTCAGTTTTTTTTTGACAAGGTTACAGAAGGGAGCGCTTAATATAAATGTAGTTGATGTAGTATATATCAGCTTTCAAAAGCCATTTGATAAAATATCACCTATTGGGTTTGTAAGTATTGGTAAAGCCAGGGAATAAAATGGACAATGTCAACATGAATACAAGGTGAGCTGAATGAAAGGAAGCTGAGGACAGTGGTTTGAATTATTGTTTATGGGCAGGAGCAAGGTTTATAAAGGAGTTCCCCAGGGATTGGTGCTGGAACCACTTCTCTTCCTATTTATACTAGTGATGTTGCGTTAGTTTTACAGCGCACAATTTCAAAATTAGCACATGGCAAAAGACTTGGAAGTATTGTGAACTAAGGAGATCAGTGACAGACATCAAGAAATGACAGACAGGTTGGTGCAATGGACAAATGCACAGCAGATAAGATTAATGTAGAGAAGTGTAAAGTGATGCATTTTTGGAGAAAAAGTGAGGTAAGGCAATACTAAATAAATGGTACAATTATAAGGAGGATCCAACCAACAAAGAAATAGGATATGCATGCAAAAATCATTAAAAGTGGCAAAGCAGCTTGAGAAAGTAGTTAAAAAAAGTATACAGGATCCTGAGCTTTATAAACACAGCCACAAAAACCCAAAGGTTTGAGAAAACAAAAAGCTCTTGAGTCAGCCTCAACTGGATTGTTTCCAATTCTGATCATTGTACTTTGGGATGGATGTAAAGGTTTTAGAGAGGGGGCACAAAATATTTAAGAATGGTTTAAGGACTGAGGGGTTTCCAGATACACAGGCAGATGACAGAAGCTGGAGTTGTTCTCTGAAGAGAAGGCTGAGAGGGATTTTGACAGAGTTACTCAAAATTATAAAAGGTGTCTCGGCAGAGTCGCTAGGGACAAACAGTGCCCATTGGTGGAAGGGTCAAGGACCACATGATACTGATTTAAGGTGACTGGCAAAAGGATCAATAGTGACATTGAGGAAAATCTTTCTTTATCTAGTGAATGATTAGGATCCAGAATGCACAGCCTGGAGAATATGCTGGAGAATGGATTCAATTGTATAAAGAAAGGACAGAGCAGTGCAACTAGCTGAGTTACTCTTGTAGAGAGCTGGTATACAGTTGATAGGCTGAATGGCCTCCATCTGCAGTGTAACCACTTCTATGGTACTGTGCAATCTGCAGATGGTGTACAATTCACTACAAATAACCTGATGAGAGTTGAGCCATACAAGATCTGTCTTTGGTCTGGGCTGACATCAGTTAGTACAGAATTTGTACTGCTCCTTTTTGACCTCAGTGTCTCTGGCTTAGGGATACAGATGAATCAGGATGGATCCCTGTTTCTGATCATTAGTCAGTAACTCCTGCTAGAAAATACATGCATAAATATCAGTGGGGACTTGGGAATGCAAATAGGAAACAAATGGTAAGAATAAATGGATCATTTTCCAAATGGCAGGCTGTGACCTGTGGTGTACCACAGGGATCAATGCTTGGACCGCAGCTATTCACAATATATATTAATGATTTAGATGAGGGAACTAAATGTAATATCCCCAAGTGTGCAGAGGACACCAAGTTGGGTGGCAAGGTGAGCTGTGAGGAGGATGCACAGATGTTTCAGTGTGATTTACACAAGTTGAGTGAGTGGGCAAATGCATGGCAAGTGAACTACAATGTGAATAAATATTAGGCCATCCACTTTGGTAGCTAAACCAGAAAGGCAGATTATCTGAATGGCTACAGATTAAGAAAGTAGTACATGCAACAAGACCTTGGTATTCTCCTACACCAGTTGTTGAAAGTAAGAATGCAAATGCAGCAGGTGATGAAGGTGGCAAAAGCTAATGATAGCCTTCATAGCAAACGGATTAGAGCATAGGAGCAGGGATGTCTTCCTGCAATTGTACAGGGTCTTTCTTAGACCACACCTGGACTATAGAATGAAGTTTTGGTCACATTATCTGAGAAAGGATGTTCTGGCCATGGAAGGAATGTAACCAGGATTTACCAGACTGATTCCTGGTATGGCAGTACTGACATATGAAGAGAGATTGGATTGTTCAGGATCATATTCATTGCAGTTCAGAAGATTTGGGGGTGTGGGTGGGGAGAGGCGAGGGAGGAAGGAAGATCTCACAGAAACCTATAACATTCTAAACAGGGTAAATGTTCCCAATGACCAAGGAGTCCAAAACCAGGGGTCAGATCCTAAGGATAGGGCATTTAGGACTGAGATAAGGAGAAATTTCTTCACCCAGAGGGCAGTGAGCCTGTGGAATTCTCTGTCACAGTAAGTGGTTGAAGACAAAACATTGACTATTTTCAAATAGGAGATAGATTTAGTTCTTAGGGCTAAAAGGATCAAAGGGAATGGGGTGAAAGTGGGAACAGAGTACTGAGTTGGATGATTAACCATGATCATATTGAATGGTGGAGCAGGCTTGAAGGGCCAAATGGCCTACTCCTATTTTTTATGTTTCTAAATACTTCACTTTCGAATAGTCTGCCCAAGCTTGTTGCAGAACACCATAGGGAAAGGTATCAGGTTACATGTCGAAACTGCAATATACCCCTGTGAAAGTCCGTACGTTCAAATGAGGCAGAAAGACTAAGGCATGAGATAATCAATACAGAGCAGTCCCATCAAAAAGTAGACTGGGGGAGAATCCTACATTCAAAAAAGGGCCTGATGCAGTGAATGAATTTCATTTTATATCCAGTGTAAGGGTTTAGGTGAACTTTCAGGCTTTGAACTGGAATTTATAAAATAATGTGAAACTCCAGTTGTCAAGTGTCCTTGTGACTGTGACCCCTCCCAATACTCTCTGCTCTCTGGAACTGTACCTACTCTTGTGAGGAGCTTGCTTCCCCCGAAGTTACAGCACCTGACCAAAACTGAAAGAACTCTGGTGTCTGTGGAGAAAGAACAAACAGATAAAAGATATAAATAGAAGAAAATAGTCACTAAACAAGTAAAAGTAAAATATTGCAGATGCTGGGAATCTAAAACAAACAGAAAATGCTGGAGAAAGTCAGCAGGTATGGCAGCACCTGTACAGATAGAAACAGAGTTAACACTGAGTCTCATATGGTTCTTCTTCAGGACACTGTAAAAGTTAATGGAGTTGAATCACTAACTTTATTTCTCTCTCCACAGATGCTGCCAGACCCGCTGAGTTTCTCTAGCATTCCTGAGCCGCTGAGTAAATGTTGATTTTCTCTCAATAGCAGCTCACTACGGGATCCTTTCTGATTTGAAAGCAAAAAGAAAAAGAGGATGCCAACACTAATAGTAAGTAGAAGTAGTATGGTCAGTCTGGATGGATATCTGGTTGCGCCACCTGAATGAAACGCAGTGAGGAACACCTGCCGAGGAAGATAGCTATCCCTTACAGAATTCTGTGTTCCATTACTGCAGCACAGAACTTCGTCAGTTGTCCTGGTCTCTGTTCCTACTAGTTGTTGTTCTACAGCCAGGTAATACAGATCTACCCAATTAATAAAGGGTCTAATAATGGACTTGGTAAAGATTAATTGTGATAAAGTTGTTCAACCAGTGCAGAAAAAATAGAAAGACTGAACTCCAATAGAACTAGATTTACAAAAGAAATTAAAGTTAAGTTACCACAGACGTTACATAGAATTGAAATATATCAGATGCGAATTTAGGGAAATGTGCCCCTTATGCCCGTCAGCATGACAGGATTAATCTAATTTGCGGTAACATTTCAAATATTGAACTGAATGAAGTGTAACCAACAAATTAGCATGGGCATTTATCTTCATCTATGACAGTGGTAAGTTAGCAAGTCATCACTCCTAACACTGAGAAGCAGTAGCTGTGCTAATGTCAGGAATGTCACTCTTTGACAATACAAATGAAATCACTTCCCTTGTATTTATATTTATTTATTTACAGCGAGTTAGCCAGCCAGAACCTCATTCAGCATCTACCCACTGACCGAACAATTGACAGTAAGCAGTGTGATAGTCTGTGGCACGCTGAACCAAGCTCTGGAATATGCAGGACACCTGAAATAATAGAACTCCAGGCAAATAAGTCCCCAGCCTGATGACTTGCATTGTAACATGATTAAAGAGGTAGCTACAGAGATAGTGGATGTAATTTTCCAAAATGAAACTCTTGGATTCTGGAGAAGTATAAGAGGATTAGAAATGTGACACCCCCTATTCAAAAAGAGGAGGCAAAATGAGGGTACTATAGGCCAATTAGCCTAACATCTGTTATTAGAAAAGCACTGGAATCAATTATTAAAGAAGTAATAGCAGAACATTTGGAAAATCATGATCTAATCAGTCAGCATGGCTTCATGAAAGGCAAATCATGTCAGACTGATTTATTAGAAATTTTTGAGGAAGTCTCAACCAGAGTGGATAGAGGGGAACCAGTAGGCATGCTGTATTTGCCAGAAGGCCTTCGACAAGGTACCTCAGAAAAGGTTAAGTCATAAGAGAGAGCCCATGGTGTTGGACGTAGTATATTGACATGAGAATTGACTCATGGGCAGGGAAAAGCAAATAGATACAAGGAGTTCTTTTTCCTGCTGTCATCCAGTGACTAGTGGGGTTCCATAGTGATCAGTGCTGGAACTGCACCAGTTTACAATATATATTAATGATGTGGAGGAAGGAAGTGAATGTACTGTAGCCAAATTTGCAGATGACACAAAAATAGGTGGAAAGGCTAGTTGCGAGAGGGATACAAACAGTTTATAGAAAGACTAAAAGAACTATGGGTGCTGGAAATTAGACAAAAACAAATTTCCGGAAAAACTCAGCAGGTCTGGCAGCATGTGTGGAGAGAACAGAATGAACCTGTTAGAATCCTGTTCTGAGGAAGGGTCACTGGACCTGAAATGTTAACTCTGAGTTCGGTCCACACATTCAGCCAGACCTGCTGAGTTTTTCCAGCAATTTCGGCTTTTGTTAGTTTACAGAGAGATGTTGATAGGAAGTAAGTGGGCAAAAACTGTTGGCTAATGGAGTCTAATGTGGGAAATGTGAAGTTGTTCATTTTGGAAGGGAGAACAAGAGAGCAAACTATTATTTAAATGGAGAAAAACTGCAGAAAGCTGCAACACAAAGGGACTTAGGGATATTTGAGCATGAAACACAAAGCTAGCACACAGGTGTAGTTGGTAATCAGGGAGGCTAATGCAATGTTGGCCCTTATTTCAAGGGAGTTGGAGTATAAGAGAAGGGGAGGCTTACTGCGACAGTACCAGGTGCTGGTGAGAGCACATCTGGAGTACTGAGAGCAGTTTTGGTCCCTTTATTTAAGGAAAGATATCATTTAATTGGAGGTAGTTCAGAGAAGGTTCACTAGGGTGATCCTGGTATGGAGGGGAGTTAAGGGTTATGGGGAAAGTGCAGGAAAGTGGATGGAATGAGTGTCAGATCAGCCATGATGCTATTGACTGGCAGAGCAGGCTTGACGGGCCAAAGGGCCTACTCCTCTTCCTATTTCTTATTGTCTTATGGTCTCATAAAAGCAAGCTTTTAAAAAGTGTAAAATGTGACTAATGTAACTTCCATGTCTCCAGGTTGTCCACACAATGTTACAGTCAGCCTAATGATAGCAGCACTAATGTACAGGTTTAAGGGGAGGCAATGGTCCAGTGGTATTATCACTGTACTGTTAATCCAGAGATCCAGGTAACGTGCTGGGGACCTGGGTACGAATCCCACCGTGTTGGTGGAATTTGAATTCAATAAAAATAATCCGGAATTAAGAGTTTAATGATGACCATGAATCCGTTGTCGCTTGTTGGAAAAACCCATCTGGTTCACCAATATCCTTCAGGGCAGGAAACTGCCATCCTTACCTGGTCTGGCCTACCTGTGACTCCAGACCCCACAACAATGTTGTTGACTCATAGCTGCCCTCTGGGCAATTAGGGATGGGCAATAAATGCTGCCTAGGCAGTAAGGTCCTGATCCCGTGAATGAATTAAAAAAAAAATAAAGCACCAAAGGCTCCAGCATCATAGTATAAGAGTTTTTTTTAAAACCTATAGCAGAGGGGACACCAGGATTAACTGTGAACTAAGAAAAATTGTACAGGGCCTAATTTAGGTTGATGCAGCTAATAACTTCCATGTCCCTGTCTGGGACACTGGGTGTGAAGGGGAAGCTGGAGGAGCAGGGATGGAGCGGATTAGTTCCGAAAACACTCCAAGTTAAACCTTCCCAAAACGTATCAGCAATATCAGCTGCAAAAAAAGTTTGATGCACTGGACACATCACTGGAATATTACTCATTTTCATTGGGAGATGCAAGAGATCACAAAGGGAGACACATTCTTCATTTAGCTGATGCTAGAAAGACCGGGGACAAACAACAAGCTCTAAAGCAGAGAGTTCCACAATGGAAGCAGGCTAACAGAGGACTTCAAAACTTGAAGAACACCATCTCATTTTCCATTTGAGCACCCTGCAGCCTCTAGGACTCAACGTAGAGTTCAATAACTCTCGAGCCTGATTCCACTCTTCCATGTTTTTTTTAATCACCCCCACAATGGTCCTGCATGATTTGGATTGCTTTTAGCACAGCCATCCTATTCTCACCAACACTCAGCTTTCATTATCATGTATTCAGCTTCTCTTCAGTCCTGCTCTACTGTCAATAACACCCTCCTTTGCCTACCTCTTCCATATCTCTCTCTGGGTTCCATCTCTACCTAGCTGCTCACCTTTGCCTCCACTTCCCCAAATCTCATCTTCAGCATAAACACTGCTCTTTCCTAGCTAGCCTCGGCTCTGAGGAAGAATCACCAAACTCAAAACATTAATTTTACTTTCTTCCCACAGATGCTACCAGATCAGCCGAGTTTCTCCAATGATTTCTGTTTTTGTTTCAGATCTCCTGCATCTGCAGTTCTTTGTTTTATAATACAGGTTCTTAGTCTTCCCTTTATTTGCCCCAAGGCCCATTTTCACAAATGCCTCTGTAAATGCTCTGAGGATCATTTGGAGCTTTGCCTCAGTGTACACACATGCTAGTCTGCAGCTTAGTGATGGAGACTGAGGTGCTCTTGGTTCTGGATTGAAGGCAACAGGTTCTGTAGTTTCCAACTTATCCTGTAGATGAGCTCTACACCATCATGGATAAAGGGTGGAGTGCTGTAATATGAAAGATAGATCACAAGATGTAGGAGCAGAAGTAGGTCATTCAGCCCATTGAGTCCAATGTGGTATTCAATGAGATCATGGTTGATCTGATAATCATCAGCTCCATTTTCCTGCCTTAACCCTATAACCATTGATTCCCCCACTGATTAAAAAATCTCTATCTCAGCCTTAATACACTTAATGACCCAGCTTCAACTGTGGTAAACAATTCCACAGGTTGACTACCCTCAAAAGAAGAAATTCCTTTTCATCTCCCATTCTTAAATGGGTAACTCTTTCCTCTGAGATTATGCCCTATGGTGCTAGACAGTCCCACAAGGGGAATCAATCTTTATGCATCTACTCTGTCAAGCCCCTTAAGAATCTATATGTCTCAGTAAGATTGCCTCTGACTCTTCTAAATGCCAATGTATTATGGCCCAATCTATACAACCTCTCCTCATAAGAAAATCCCTCCAAACCAGAATCAACTTAAATGAACCTTCTGTGGACAGCTTCCAATGTCAGTGGGACTTTCCTTAGAAAAAGGGACCAAAACTGTTCACAGCATTCCAGGTTTGATCTAATTAACATGGTCTAAAATGGGGATGCGCATTCATGCAATAACATGGCAGATACTTTGTCAGATAATTTAGAGACTTTTAAATGACTCTTGGATAGATACATGGATGATAGTATAACATAGGGTAGGCAGGGTAGTTTGATCTTAGTAGGATAATAGGTCGGCACAAGGCCTGTACTGTTCTACTTTCTATGTTCTATGGCCCTGCTAGGCTGCAGTTGGTGCATGAATGATAAGCACCATTTTGTTCACAGCTCACAGTGGAGTATGTTCCTGGTTGCTTGGGCCATATATAGGGCAGTGATATCAATATCATTGTGCCAGAGTTTCTGGGACAGGATTACAGAGCCATGTTCAGATATGTTGCAGCTAGGGTTATCCAGGAGGGTCCTGATGTTCTGGGATCCAATCTTCATTGAGGGTGAAAGACATCTGTGTGTGTGATCTTTTAATATGGTGTGGCTGTTGGTCACTAACTACCAGCTGGTACTGGTCCTGGCCTTTGTCTAATGATGGATAGTGATAATGATCGGAAACCAAGTGACACTGCATGGACAGGGACTACCAAACAAACTTTGTTGCCCCCGAATGATGCTCCTATCCATCCTAGGAGGCTGCTTTTCTTTTTCTTGTGGCTCAGTGTTGGAGAAGGTAGTCCATATCGATTAGCCACTGTAAGATCAGCAAAGACTCCTTGTCACAACATCGCAATCCAAGTTCTGCACTGTCTCTCCTTTCGCCCCACTGTGTTCCCACTGCCCCAAGCCACTTTTATAACCACTGGCATGGTGGCTCAGTGGTTAGCACTGCTGCCTCACAGCACCAGGGACCAAGGTTCAATTCCAGTCTCGGGTGACTGTCTGTGTGGAGTTTGCATATTCTCCCCGTGTCTGCGTGGGTTTCCTCCCACAGTCCAAAGATGTGCAGGTTAGGTGGATTGGCCATGTTAAATTGCTTGTAGTGTTCAGGGATGTGTAGCTTAGGTGGGTTATAAGGGGATGGGTCTGGGTGGGATGCTCTATGGGTCGGTGTGGACTTGTTGGGCCGAAGAACCTGTTTTCACACTGTAGGCATTCTATGATTCTATACTGATCTCACTCTTTCCCACTGCACCCTTATTTTGTTCCAGCTGTGTCTTTGCATGTTTTTTATCCCCACTGCTTGTCACTTTCAAATTTTGTCCCTCATGTTCTAGGACCTAGATAGAGTGAGTGAATAGTTCTAATATGTCTTGACAGAGCAATCATCAGGGACTTTATTCCCCTGATCACCCCTCTGCTAAGGGAAATTAATACTTTTTAATCTACTTTCCCTACGTCCTACATAATTTTATACATCAATTAAATTACTGAGTCTTCCTATTCCAAGGAAAACATTCTGATCCAATCCAATCTTTCCTCACAGCTATAATTCTTCAGTCCAAGCAATAGCCTTAGAAATTGCCTCTGTATCCTCTCCATTGCCATCACAGACCCCCCACTATCAACATCCTAGGGATTACCAACAACCAGAAACTGAACTGGACTTGTCACAAACACAGTGGCTACAAGAGCAGGTCAGAAGGTAGGAATGCTGCAGTGAGTAACTCACCTCCTGACTCCCCAGAGCCGATCCATCATCCACAAGGCACAAGTCAGAAGTATGATGAAATACTGCCCACTTGCCTGGATAAGTGCAGAACCAAGAACATTCAAGAGGTTTGACACCATCCAGGTCAAACCAACCCACTTGATTGGCACCTCATTCACAAACATTCAGTCACTTCCTCCACAACCAGCACTCAGGTACTATTTACAGGATGCCCTGCATAAATTCACCAAGGAACCTTGGACAACACCTTCCAAACCCACAACCATTTCTAGCTTGAAGGACAAGGGGAGCAGATACATGGGAACACCAAGCCACTCACCATCCTGACTTGGAAATATATTGCTGTTCCTTCACTGTTGCTGGGTCAAAATCCTGGAATTCTGTCTATAATGGCATTGTTTGTCTATCTACAGCACATGGACTACAACGGTTCAAGGTGACAACTCCTTACTACCTTTTCAAGGGAACTGCCCTGAACTGGTATCCTTTGTTTCAGCTAATAAAAAGGAAAATATTCTCACCTATTACCTTAACTATCTTATCTACATAACCAGGCAACTGCTGAAATTATACGAATTGAAATATCATCACAAAATACAGCAGCCCCTACATTCACAAGCAGCATCTCAGTGACAGTGCCAACAGTTTATCTCACAATGACCACGACAATAAAATAAATCATTACCTACCCCAGATGTGACGGGAAAAGGACGAGACATATGTGACATGCCTAGTTTGTTTTGAATTGCAGTCGCTGATACGATCTGTGCTGATGACATGGCTGCCATACTGGCAAGGGCCTTGTCCTTTGCTGACTGATCCTAGCAGACAGAGAGAAATAGGTGTCAGACAGAACAACAAATTACAAGGGGCCTTTTCATTGATAACAGCCCATTAAATTCTCTAAGAGTTGTATGCACCATGGAGACAAGATGCATCATGATATGGAGTTTTTGGGAAAAGTACATTGAATTAGGAGGTAGGGCTGTGAATTTAATTTTGGTTTCACAGTGATTATGAGGTGGGAGCAGGAGGGCAAAATTTATGGTGTAGGGCATTTGGACTTTGGCAGCTGAGTTCAGAGTAGCCCTGACCATAGAATATTTGGTAGAGAAAGTAAAATAGCAAAAAAAAAAGAACAAACACAAGAGAATATTACAGAGCATAACACCAAGAGTGAAAGTACACTGTAGGAAGAGTGAGAGGGAGCAAGCATGAGACAGCATGCAAACAAGAGAGAATGCAAATGTGTGTGAAACAGAGAGAGAGACACACAATAGATATATTTGCATTTTCAGAAAGTGTTTGACAAGGTACCATGCATTAAGCTACTTAATAAGATAACAGCCCATAGTGTTGGAAGTATATTAGCATGGATAGAAGATTGGCCAACTAATAGAAGACAGTTGAGATAAGCAGTGCATTTTGAGGATAGCAACCTGTAACTGGTAGAGTGCCACAGGGATCAGCCTTAGGATACAATTTTTTTTCTGCATGGGATATGAGCATCACTGGCTGACTAGTATTTCTTGCCCATCTCCAGCTGCCCTTGAGAAGGTGGCGGTGAGCTATCTTCTTGCACTGCAATAGTACAATTGACCTACAATGCCGCTAGGAAGGGAATTCCAGGATTTTGACCCAGTGACATTGAAGGAATAACAATATATTTCCAAGTCAGGATAGTGAGTTGCTTGAGGGGAACTTGAGGTGGTGGCATTCCCTTGTATCTGCTGCCTTTGTTCTTCTAGATGGAAGTGGCCGAGTGTTTGGAAAGTGTCACCCAAGGATCTTTGGTGAATTTCTGTATGCACCATAAGAATAGTACACACTGCTTTTAATCACTGCAGTATTCCTACCTTCTGACCTCTCTTGTAGCCACTCTGTTTATGTGGCGAGTCCCATTGAGTTTATGGTTAATGGTAACCCCAAGTGGGGAATTCAGTGATGGTAACACTATTGAACGTGAAGGGGTGGTGATTAGGTTGTCTGTTTCTGTAGATAGTCATTGTCCAGGATTCATGTAGTGTGAATGTTTCTTGCCACTTGTCAGCCCAAGCTTGGATATTGTCCAGTTCTTGCTGCATTTGGACATGGACTGCTTCAGTTTCTGAGGAGTCATGATAGTGTTGAACATTGTATAGTCATTAGTGATCATCTCCACTTCTGACCTTATGATGGAGGGAAGATCATTGTAGAAGCAGCTAAGGGTGTAGGTCACTCCCCTGAGGAACTGGAGCGGAGATAACTGACACCCCACTAATCACAACTATCTTCCTTTGTGCCAGGTATGACTCCAACCAGCTGAGAGTTTGTCTTGTGATTCCAGTTTTGCTGGTACTCCTTGATGTCACACTTGATCAAATGCAGCATTGGTGAGGGCTGTCACTCTCACTTAGCTCAATACAATATATGTTAATGTCTTGGATGAGAAAATTGAATGTACACTTTCATGTACACATTGTGGATGACACAAAATTAGGTTGGAAGGCAAGTGGTGAGGATGACACAGAGTCTGCAGAAGGACATAGACAGGTTAAGCAAGCGGGGAAAAAAATTTGGAAGATAGAATATAACGTGGGAAAATGTAAGGTTATACAGTTTGGCAGGAAAAATAGAGGAATTGAATATTATTTAAATGGAGAAAGACTGCAGAAAGCTACAGACTGAGGGGTTTGGAGGTCCTCATCCATGTATCACAAATAGTTAGCTTCCATGTTCGGTGGGTAATATTGAAAGCAAATGAAACGTTGACCTTTATTTCAAGGGGAATGGTGCACTGGCATTGGAGACAGCCCAGAGAAGGTACACAAGGCTATCTCATGAGGAAAGGTTGAGTGGTAAGGGTCTGTACTCATTAGAATCTAAAAGAATGAGGGGCATCCCGAATGAAACATACAAGATTCTCAGGGGACTTGACAAGGTGGAAATGTAATTGTTATTGGAAATTTGTGGAAATGTTTCCCTTTGTGTGAAAGTCTAGAACCTGAAGGCATAATCTCAGAATAAGGGCTCGCACCTTTAAGACAGAGATGAGGAGGAATTTCTTTGTTCAGAGGGTAGTATATCTGTGGAGTTCTGGGAGGCTAGGTCATAAAGTAAAGCCTAAGGGAGACAGATTTTTAAATCAGTAAGGAATCAAGGGTTATGGAGGAATAGCAGGGAAGTGGAGTCAAAGATTATCTGATCAGTGTGATCTAATTCAATGGCAGAATAGATTTGATGGACTGAATGGTTTACTTCTGTTTCAATGTCATGTGATCTTGAAACCAGACAAGCAAAGTAAAGAGAGAAAGAGAAGAGATAAAAATTAGCATATGCAGCAGAGCACCCAAAAGAGGGAGAGTGGGACTGCATGAGACTATAATGTAGAGACAGAGTTGAGTCATTGTTATACAAACTTCTGTGGTAGTCTGTTCAGGAGCAACGGAGCTTTTAACTCCAACAATAATCAATATTAATATTTTTTTTTTAAAATCGACATGTTCAGATGTTAGTACACACCTCTGGACCAGGTGGGGCTTGAACCTGGGCCTCCTGGCTCAGAGGCAAGGATAGTACAACTGCACTACAAGAGTCCTTAATCAGTTATATTGTACACTGACAAATATGTCAAGTTTCCTCGTTACTTTAACGGTCAATGTGGCAAGACTTCTGTGTTGATGTACTGCCACTATTAGAGGTGTTGTTCATTCACAACATAGCTCTATTCTAAAGAATTACAATTCCACTCCATGTATTAAAACACAAATGATGCTCATATTGTAGGAAGCAGGTGTTTGTATTGCTGCTTCCACAACATTCTCAGGACCAGCAACTGAAGCTTGCAGACGCTGCCCTGACACACAAACTGCAAGGGTGCAATTCTGCTGTTTTAACCAGGGGTTCTAGCAGGGGTAGGAAACATTCAAAACACAGTATAGTAATGAGAAACAGCCAGAAGTAACCATGGGAATTTACATATAAATTAAGCTAGGTAGCAGAATACTCAACCGCTAGGTAACTCAAATCCCCAGGTCCTGGACTCCATTTAAATGTTATGGTCAGTGAGCATAGCAGCACATAACCAGTATTAACTAACAAATGGAATACTATTGCAAATGTGCACTTATTTTTACGTTTGAAGGGGAAGCAGTGGGTGTGGTAATGTCACTGGACTGGTAATCAAGAGCCTAGGCAAGTGTTCTGGGAACATGTGTTCTGGGAACATGTGTTCAAACCCCACGATGGTAGATGGAAGTGTGAATTTAATAAAATCAGGTATTAAAAGCCACTGTATAGGTGACCATGGAATCATTGATTGTTGGGAAAGCCCATCTGGTTCACTAAAGCCCTTCAGGAAAGGAAATCTGCCATCCTTACCTGATCTGGCCTACATATAACACTAGGCCCACAACAATGTGGTTGACTCTAACTGCTGTCTGAAATGACCTGGATAGCCAATCAGCTCCTCCTTAGTGAGGAGTAACAAATGTTGGTCCAATCAATAATGCCAATATCCCATTCAATAATGAAAAAAAAAATGGTTGTGAGATGAGTTTTTTTTAGTGGATAGTCTCCTAGCAACAAGAATAGTTATTGGAGAGTGAATATTACTCTGAAGGGCAACTATGCCAAATTGTATCCAATTAGTGTTCTAACAAAATAAAACATGGGCAGTAGAATAATTATAAATGTTGAAGATACAATGATACGGAATGAAGTTGTCTGTGGATTTTGGTTTCTTGGTGAACATTGACAGTTATCATCAGAATCTCTCTTAAACAGTTGATATGGAATCACCCAAACATCTTTCCATGGATACCACATCCTGGTATTTTTACTTAAATAGAAAAAGATCAATTGCATCAAGAGGCAACCAACAATCATGGTTCCTCAGGACCCTTATCTTTCTTTGCACTATCAGAGCATAATGAGAATTATTTCATATTACAAAGCATTTAGAAACAATTCTCTGGTGATTTAAAAAGGACTATAATGGTGACCATCTCAGTTTTCAAAGTTAATGAGTGCATCCAAATCACAAAGTCAAAAACATAAGCAACAAAATGAAGATGGGTTAGACCAGTCACACAGCAGACAGTGTGAAACACTGTTGGGGACACCCCATTTTGGGGGTGGGGGAAGGTGATGAAAAGAGATCCTATAAGTGGGATGACACAGCAAATTTTAACATGTTCCCCCCTTCTCTCCTGAAGTCATTGTCTCTTCTTTACGGTTTTACAAGTGCCACTCACTCTCCAGCACCAATGCAAGTGAGTTTCAAAAGGCATGGACATCATTATTGAGTTTGATCTTGTCCACTATCCTCAGAGCAGGGGGGTCACTGAACAGGGATATGGTCTAAAAGACCCAGAACACTAAGTACCATTGCATACACAAGAAATGGACAATTCGTTGATTGCAGTGATCACGAGGCTCAGATAATATTCAAGCTCATGCTCACTCGAGCTTATTACAGCTCACAAAATATCATGGCTTTTTAAAAAAATTCTAAGAGATCCAAAAGTGAAAGTGGTTTCATGGCTGGCATTGGATATGGGCAGACTCTAATGCTCCAAAATCCAGAGAGACTCAATATTTCATCGGTTTTATCTTTCCAGATACTATACATGGAAACAGCTGTAAGAGGCAGAGTCAGCAATTGTGAAGATGGCTTTTAGCTTCAGTGCATGCAATAGGAATCTTTCACCAAATCCAAAATTGGATAGGAGGGAGCCAACAAATATGGAGCTGGAAAAGCAGAGGCACTCCGGCAGCATCCAAGGAGCAGGCAAGTCAATGTTCTGGGCCAAAATCCTTCATCTGTCCTAATAGGAGGGAACTGGGATCAATATTCAAGTTTAGGAGTTTGTCTCGCTGATACAAACTCAATGAAAACTTGAACAACTGGATGTATCCCAATGCTAAAATAAATGGTAAATATGTGATTTTAAAACATAGACACAGTTGATATCCAGTTTATATTTGAACAATTTTCAAAAAGAAATTGTTGAGAAACCAGATAGTTGATGGCAGAGATTGGGAAACCTTCAGCAGTGTTCTAGCATGAAACACAAGGTGTTACAGCAGTGTAAAATCAGTACAAAGCACGAGAGCTATTTCAGAAAACTAGCACTTTTGCCAAGAGCTCACCATATTGATTGTCTGGAGACAACGAGAGATTGTCATCCATTCCAGTCACCAAATGGGCAGTCCATTTAAAAGAAGAGTAAATAGAAAAAAAATAATCCCTTTTTAGAAACTCTAACAGGAGATAGTTTCGCACATATCTTTTCATTTCTCCAAACCACCAGTTTTAAATCAATTAAATTTGCTTATATCACCTTCAGTTACACTCGACTAATCCTGCTGAAAGTTTGACAGGAGGGTGAGTGAGAGAGAGAGGGAGTGAGAGTGAGAGTGAGAGTGAGAGAGCGAGAGTGAGCAAGAGCGCAAGAATGAGCGAGAGAGAGAGAGAGCGTGAGAGCGAGAGTGAGAGTGAATGTTGAGGTGCCAATGGAGAAACATAAAAGCTTGTCCAATTACAGAGACATGGTTAAAGGGGAGGTGGCAATATAGTGGTAATGTCACTGGGATTGCAATCCCAGGGGCCAGACTAATGGTCTGGGGACAAGCATTCAAATCCCACTGTGGCAGCTGATGGAATTTAACTTCAAATAATAAAAATCTGGATTAATAGCTAGTCTCAACAATGGTTAAAATCCATCTGGGCAATGAAACTTGCTGTTCTTAGCCAGTCTGCCTTACATCTAACCTCAGACCCAGAGCAATTTAATTGACTGTTAAATACGAGAAATTAAAATGATGGTTGGACAGAGTCCACTCTCATACCTTTTAGATTAGTGTTTTATTTCTAGTTCCTACACTAAACTTCAACCACATGATTACCTGTTTTCTATATATACGCGCAGCCAATCATCCTTTGGTTAACATCACTGGGCCTTGATTCAATTTGGTCCGAAACGTCCCTTCTATTAACTGCCTGACAAAATGGGTTCAAGGACAGTTAAAGAATGACAACCAATGGGCTGGTCTTACCAGCAACACTCATGTCACATGAAAGGAAGAGCAGGAATTTTAATTTGAAGGGAAAGTTTTGAGTCTCTGCACTTAGGAAGAGAATGGAATATCTCATCCTTTTCTGTGAATTTATCTTGTCAGTGGCATTCTGAAGTGCTGGTCAAGGAGTCTTCATGACTTTCTCTGTTTACACTGTTGTATCACATCACTGTCAGACACCGAGGACTGAGTCTTACCACATTTTGGAAAATGTCATTTTTGTAGAGTTTCATTGTGGGTTTCTTTTCACAAGGTCTAGCGAGTTTTCTCCTATTTCCAGAACTTAACTCATTAACTACCCACCCTGTCTGTATGGCAGCCTTCTCATCCAATGCTAGCTGGATTCTACAACTCACCATGCACAGGAGAGCTTGTCACTGCCAGCATAACCCAGACTAGTTTGTCATCCCTAGCACTGGACCACATTTAGAAGGTCGATGTGTACCCAGACAAACACTGTCAATCTGGAGCTGCCTGGGCAGTTCATGACATTTGTCCTGGACATGGTAGAGAAGGGGAAAATAGTGTCCTGCTTTATGGACGGGGATCTGGAGGTCCAAATTGACTGGATGCGCGGAAAAAAACTGACCTCATCTCCCACGAACTGCAGATCCTGCCAGACTGATCAGTGTGGCCCCAGCAGTTGGGAGGAATGTGAGATGATGCTGCCACTTTAACAGGTTATTTTGTCCTGCTTTCTTTTGGAAGAGAGATTATAAGGCAAAGGTCCTGAAGATGGCTACTGAGGACCACTTGAATAAACAGCTTGGGAGGCCTTGATTTTTTTTAAAGCAGCCTGGATAGGTGTGGCCAGCTCTCACTGATCCAGATTTCTGGGTTTTGGTACCTCCAGTAACATCAGAAGCTATTGGGGTCTCAACAGAGTCGGCAGCTTCAGTGAGTGTCTCCTGGACGTTGCTCCTCTGAATTTTCCCCTGATGTTTTTTCACGCCTGGATTGGAGAACTGCATGTGAGAATTTGTGCCTGAATTTCCCTTTTTGCCAAGGGGTGTGTTTACGGGATGTTACTTTATTGGAACAGTTAATTAGTAATAGTTCTCTATTATTCTGTTCAGTTTTCCAATAGGATTAAGTTATTTTAAATTCCTCTTTCTTTGCTTGTATTTTTAACTGCAGTATTTAAATAAATTGTGTTTTGCTTAACGTGAGTAGTTTGACCAGTCACTTTGCATCTGGAACAGATAATTTATATGTTCCATTGAAATAAAATATTAGGGGCTAGGCTACATTCTTAAAATATTTTGAGGGGTTCTCGTCTGGTCCATAACAAATGCCCAACAGTGTAGGAAGATGATCTTCTTCACTTTCACTCACACCCACTTGACACCACACCCCAACCCCCTCATTGCTAACCACACAAAGCTTCTTCACCTCATAAGCACTCACTCAGGATACCTCGCTACCTTTCTCCCAGCTGCATCAGCACTAACAGCTGTGCCATCCAATTCCATCTCACTTGATCTCTCCCCCTTTTTCCCTAGTTCAGCTGTAAACAGCCTATAATAGGGCAGAATGAATAAAGGCGGGTAGTGGGGTCCCTGACGTTAGGCTCCTCTGACAGCGCTAAGCAGCTACTTGACTTGGTCCTGGACCCCGAATAGATATTGGACACTGCGCTTACTGTACCGGGACCCCTGACCGAAAGGTCCTTGATGTCACTCAGCAACTTCCCCTCGGACTTTGAAAAATGGCCATTTGATTGAAGCACTTACAATATGTGTATGCTGCATATGTAGCTGGTTCATGGTGAAGAAGTAACACTGACATCACATGGCAACATGCAGCTACATGTTCACCCCTTTAACTGTTGACTGCTGAGAACCATGACAAGCTGCCTGGCTTTGTACTGGCAAGGCAAGGCAGGGTACATCAGTGATGCTGTGAGCATGCAAGTCAGCACAGGTGAATGAGTGCTAGGAGTCCAAACAAACAGCCCTGAGATGCAGCTTGATCCAATCCTTGAATTGGTTACCTATCCCTGTGTGCAAAGTCTCCTTGAAGCAGTGTTGCAATGCTATGAACTCCAAAGTGCAGCACTGAAGTGCAGAATTGTACTGTAAGTGGATCGGAGATGTGCCATGATGGCACTGAGAGGCTGGCATGTATCAGATACAAATGGTCCGTGGTCATTGCCCACAGTGAATGCCAAGTCATTGGTGCCATGTGTGCAAGATGCTGGTGTGGAGGAGCAAGTGGTGAGTTGGAATTACCAGGTATCCACTAGGACTTTCATGTTGGGAATTTGTGACATCTAGTTTCTACCTGCCCTGTAGTACAATAAGAAGCTGTATATTAATGAGGTGTGAGACTCAGTGTTAATAAGGATAATAAGTAACAACCCTCATTGATAAGTGTCCCACTGCTCTCTAGTGAAAATATTGCTCTCTCATCTTGAGGCCAAGAATTCTGTTAGAAAATGTAACATGTTGTTGCCAGCATCAGGAAACGCCTCGCTAGACTTCTCGCCATAGTCAACATTGTTCAAAATGTTAATAGATTCCATCCAAAAGGTTTTCATGAATTGATGAGCTTGAAGGTTGCATTCCAGAGTGTTTGCAAGCATTTCCTCATGGCAATATGCTCTGCTCTGACCAATTCCCTAGATGCCACTTTGCAAAATGTTTGATCTGGCCAAAGGCAATGCTGTATCCTGCCTACTTCTCACCGAGCCCCGCACACTTTGCTGAGTCACACTCTTCAATTATAATGCATATCCAACATTTATCGCTTTGCTTCATACTCATACACTCAGCTCAGCACTGCTGCAACCCTCACATCCATATCTCACAGTTTGGATACAGTGCCAGTTATTCACTTATGATAGCCACATCCCCTAAAGTTGCATCACACTTTCTTGCACACTTCCCTCTTGCAGGGCAAGGTGGTACATAGCTGGAGGCAGCAGTGCCTAAGGGAGGCCAGGCATGGCTGTGTATCTTTGATCCATTCAAAAAGACGATGCTCATTGCCAAGGTGTGATCAGTGGCTGAACTGGAATCTTTGGTCACATTCACAGTCACTAGCTTCATATTAATACTGTATAGGGACCAAGGATCAGGGATCAGCACGGAGGTGGAATCTACACGTGGCCAGGGAGACCTGTGATACTTCCCAGGGCCATTCACAGCGAGAATTAGGTGCTTACAAAAGGGATAATATCCAGGGCAAACATGGGAAATATTTTGAAATACTTAAAAAAAGTTATTTCAAAATTATCCTTTGTGATCTTTAACTGTTCATTAAGACCAAAATGTGTTACCACATTAACCAAACAGAAGATCTAAACTATCAGAGCAAGTGCCCCTTACCTTTAACTTGCTGTGAATCTCACGTGACTTTCTTCGAGCGAGCACCTGAATGTGACTCGATACCTAATGGGAAAGGAGGAAAAAGAACAATCAACTTCAAAGACAGTTTTACAATGTGGCATTGGGGTGAAGTGTCAGAACTAAGTGGGACTATGACATTTACCCTGTCATTGCCTGGAACTGTTTTCAAAATTTAACTTTCATCTACAAATAACAGAAGGCAAGAACCTCCCAGCTAGCCAATGTTTCAAACATTTGTATCATTCACAATACTCAGGAATACTACGTAGTTAATTCCCCAAATGTGATCAAAATACTCAACATATTCACAAATTGGCGACGTTTAGAGACAGGTCAGTGAGCTGAGCTCCTGCCTGATACCACTTGGGGGCAGTGTATTCACTGGTAATTTCTTCCGTACAGGCATCCAAGGAAATAATCCCTTGATCTCACCCTGACATTGATACACACACCAGATGCAGGAGTACAGGCAGCAAAATGCACAAAATAAGTAAAAACAAAATGTACATTCACATGGAGAAGTGGCAGTTGATGAAACACAAGGTAGGAGTAAATTACTGAATCTCTACTGAAAATAAAGAATGCTGGAAATCACAGTGGATCAGGCAGCATCCATGGAGACAGAGCAAGCTAACGTGCGAGTCTCGATGACTCTTCATCACAGCAGACATGAAATGTGGAGGGAGCAACATTTTTACTACAGTAGTGGTGGTGACGGGGGTGAGAGGCAGTGGTGTGTGTGGAGAAGGGCTGCTGATAGAGCAGATTAAGTGATCAGAATGGGAGAAAAGGTAGAACAATGGTGCGTCTAACTGCCAAACTGGAAAAAAGATAGTCCCACTGGAGAGAGTACATGGGGACAGAGAACACAACAAAGTAAAGTTAAAAGAAAGGGAAGGAATGGAAGTGGGTTCACAATGTTAAGGTGTCGAGCTCAATATTAGGTCCAGAAGGTTGTTGTTCCTGCTGTGATTTGCTGGAACATTGCAGCATGTAGAGGACAGACGAGTGGGCATGTGAGCAGGTTGCGGTGTTAAAATGACTGGCAACGAGGAAGGTCGGGGTCATGCACATACCTGTTTGCGTGTCCGTGTTTTTCCTGTACGCAATTTGATATACCTAGCGATTAATTCATTGCGACCTGAGGAAGGACAGATAAGTCATTTATTAGGCAGTTTAAGGTAAACTGTACAAGTGACTTCGATTTAAAAAGATAGGCAGGTGCATTATTCAATCCCTTCAAGAAAATAGAGGCAAGGTAATTTTTAACTGTATTGGAAATTCACACTTGGCATATAGCACAAACTCTCATCCACTTCTAGTTCACTGACTGCTCCTGGAACACCGTCATTGTTGGTGATCACTCACTCACTAAACGAGTATGATTGTCCACCTTGGAAATTCCTACTCAATGGTCACGGGTTCTGTGGAGCCTTGTGTGACCGATGAGCCAGATGCTAGAGCTGCATTAATGAGCGCACATTTGGAAGATGTTACCGGGAGGTGGAAGTACTCCTTGGCCTTGAGATTGCAGCCATTCTTTTCTCCAGTTCCTTTACCACATTTCCTCTTGCCGATGAGCGTTCTCAAAGAATTGGTGTTTCTTCACACAGGAGCTTCCTCCAAGTGGATTTCTTATGAACGAGGGTCTCCCACACGTTGATACCTATGTCGCATTTTGTGAAGGAAATCTTCAGAGACTCCTTGAACAAGAGGAAAGCAAAGGAAACATTTCAAGCACCTTTCTTGAGCTGGGTGATGATGATTGCTTTGGTAGTTGGAACTCAGGCATCCTAAACACATGGCCGGCCCAGTGGAGTTGGTTCTGGATGATGATCATGGCCTCAATGCTGGTGCTATTGGGTCATTCAAGCACTATGGTGTTATTGTGCCTGACCTCCCAAGCTGATGTGGAGAATCCATCTCAAACAATATTGATTGCACTTCTCAAGTGCCTTGTGGTGGTGCTTATACTAGTCTAACTTTCATAGCTACAGAGTCGGAAGGACGACTGCATTATTCACAAGGATCCTGGTCTCAACGTGAATGTCATGGTTTTCAAAGACTTTCATCCTTAGGCATGATGCGTATATGAAGACAGCACTGGTTTTGTTCATCCAAAACCAAAGTTCTTACAACTCTTACTTCTCACACAGTTACCCATCTCAATGCAAACAGCACTCTGAAACAAGAGTTCTGATTTATTTTGAGATCCATTCACTTTTTGTCCACTTTAAAAATAAAGTGACCCGTGCAAATACTTTCGTTAAATTGCCTCAATTCTTTTTCCACATTATAAAACAATTGCAAAGCATCACAATGTGCTGTCAACATTGAAACAAAACAAAATACAAATTTCTTTCTCCTTGACTAAGAAACTATTTCAGGTTTTGCTTTGGTTTTCTCTATTTTTCAGTTTCTGCAATTTGTCTTGATTGCTGCTCTGCACATTGCTGTCAAGCATTCTGGGCTAGTTCTGTCAGGATCTGGTAGGTTCAGTGTCTTTCCTTCTGAGCAGCTGCTGATCGCCTTTCTCCCATTTCTCTTTCAGATTCAAGCACCATTTCTACGCACTTCTTTTCCTCCACAAAAGGCCTCTAAAGGATTAGCAGTTTTATAAGCAAAGCCCTGTAATCTTGAGATTTTCCTCCATGTAACACAGCTCCCTAAGATAAATATTTAACAATGATAATGGAGCTGTATACATTTGTCTCTGTTGCTAGTGTGGTCAAATGTTTCATCCCTGCTCTCTGTATACATTAGTAGCAAATAATAAACAAAACTCAAACCATAATGCTTAAATTTGAACCTATAAGTACAAGGTTCTGCTGGTTTTAAGTTTCCCTTGACTTTTAAAAGCAGAGTCAAATTTCTGGTCATTCTGTTGCTTTTTAATAATGCTGCTACCTTGAGAATATTTTCTCCCCCATAACAACACCATGGAGATTACTTGTAATCATTTGCTCACATTCAGCCAATCTTTCCTCTCTGCTGTAATGAAAGGTTTCAGGTGTGAAATGTTAAATCAATGAGCTTGTTGACTTGCTCGCCGAGCTCACTAGTTATAGTTCAGATGTTTCGTCACCATGCTAGGTATCATCATCAGTGCAGCCTCCGATGAAGCAATGTTGTCCTACTCCACTTAGTATTTATATGATCTGATCTTCCAGTTCTTTTTTGCAAAGGTTTGTATATGGGTTCTAATTTCACATGTTTATTGATTGCGTTATGGGTGGAGAACCTGGCCTCCACAAATTCCCATGCGTGTCTATGGTTGGCTTGAGCTAGGATGGTCACGTCGTCCCAGTTAAATTGATGGTCTTAGTTGTCCGAGTGCATTGAAATGAGGGAAAGTTCATTGTGCCGTTTTGCTGCTAGCTGGTGTTCGAGTATCCTGATGGCTAGTTTCCTTCCTGTCTGGTCGATGTAATATTTTTGGCAGTCCTTGCATGGTATTTTGTACACTATGTTGATCCTGCATGTAGTGGGTATGGGGTCTTTGGTCCTAGCTCAAGCCAACCTTAGTCACGCATGGGAATTCATAGAGGCCTGGTTCTCCACCCATAATGCAATCATAAACGTGTGGAATTAGACCCCATTTACAAACTCCTGCAAAAAAGAACTGGAAATGACATACAACACCTCAACAGACCGGATCATATAAATTCCGAGCGGAGTAGAACAACATTGCTTCATCGGATGTTGCACTGATGATGTCACCTAGCATGGTAACGAAACGTCTGAACTATAACTAGCCAGCTCGGCTAGCAAGTCAACAACCTCACCCACAACCCGAGCTACAAATCTTCGCAAGAACCATAATATTAAATCAATTTCCCTCTCCACAAATGCTGCCAGACCTGAACATTTCCAGCATTTTCTGTTTCTTTCTCACTTTTATTAATAGCTGTAACATTTTACTTTTGTCATTTCCCCTTTCCTATAGTAAAGCTGCCTATTCAAAATTACTCTGTTCTGTAAGTGCTGTTTCCTTTCCCACCAATGGTTTGCATCAATATATCAGATGCAGACCAAGTACAGATTGTGGATCCAAGCTCAGTTATGTGAACAAATGCAACTTTACTGAAAACTTCACCAAATGAGCCAGCAGTCCATGATTAGCTGTCATGTACTGTATAAATAATCAAAGTTACAGAATGCCTTCAGTTACTGAGCTCTAGTTTTGACGTAAAAACTGACATCCCTTGCAGAACTGCATATCTCATTGCTTTCATTCCTTGATGATCATGGGTGTTAGTTCCTCACCATCCAACACCAAATGGACACGCAATCACATATCACAGACACACTGATTGGAAAATAGACTCAGGCAGATTGAGGTTAATCCTCACTCACCCAGTTTCGGTAACTTCTCTCATGTTCAGATTTAGAACATTTTCTCATCAATCCTTACTGAGTAGGAGTCACCATTCTGGCTAATGCTACTAGGGGACATAGGCTATGAGCATTGCTGACAAGACCAACATATGTTGTCCAACCCTATTTGTCCTTGATATAAATGGTTTGCTGGGACCATTTCACAGAGTCAACCACATTGTTGTTAGTCCAAAGTCACACGTAGGCCAGAGCAGGTAGGGATAGCAGATTTTCTTCCCTAAAGGACATCAGCGAACCAGAAGGGTCTTAATAACAATGGTCACCGTTTTTGACATTTGCTTTCAATTTCAGATTTTATTAATTGAATCTAAATTCCTCCAGCTGCCAGAGTGGGACTTGAATCTATGCCCTCAGAACATTAGCTTTGATTACTAGTCCAGTGACATAACTGCAACACTATCTTCATTCTCCCAGCTGTGTAGTGCATAAAATTAATAAATTGTAGGTCAAAAATGTACTAAAATTTAATTAACACACAATTGTAGTACTCTGATATGGGAGTTAATGATATTTCAACTGTCAAATTGTAGCTCGGGTTCTAGCATGTCCCTTTTCCTGGGTATACATCTGATTAGTGACCAGCAGCAGCATATTCAGAATCATCAGGAGATTCTGGATGTGATGTTTAATAAGGTAATCTTCACCAGGGTTTCAACAGAGGTTCTGTAATTGGTTTCAGTGTCTCTATGTTATCCTAAAAGGCATATTGCAATAAAGACCACGCTTCATTTAGCTCTCTTTTGGGTCATGTGTTAACTTGTAAGCTGTATGCTGTGTAACTCCGAGTTTTACACATGTTGAATGGTAGCACGTTTTGATGGGAGATGATATCTATAAGGGGGACCCAAAACAGTGCTGGGCTCATAACCTAACAGAATTCAATACAGAAGGAGTTTTGTTCAAAAAAAAAAAAAAAAAATTCATTCAGACAACGTAGGCATCAGCGGCTGGGCCAGCATTTATTGCCCGTTCTTAAATGTGCTTCTCAAAAGCTGCAGTCCTCAGAGTGTAGATGCAAGCACAGTCCTGTTAAGAAAGGAATTCCAGAATTTTGACCCAGGAATGGTGACATATTTCCACTGCTGTGTGGATTGAAGGGGAATTTGCAGGTGGTGATGCAGATACAGCCCTTGTCCTTCTAGTTGGTAGTGATCACAGATTTGGAAGGTGCTGTCAAAGTCTCTGCTAGATCATTTGTTCACAAATAAGCACACACAATTACATACTCAATGTAAACTTTAACACAGTTTGAAATTTGTTCTGTAGATTTTTAAATTTTTTAGAAAAACTCAGTGGGAAGGAAAAACTAAAAAGCACCAGCACTGGTTAGATTAAATTCTATTGCTGTATCCTGGGAAAGCATGTCTGCTGTTTACTTACTCAGACACTGGATGGCTATCTATCCAGTGTCTTAGTATCCAGATGGTGCTCTCACTCACTCATTCTTCTAGCTGCAAGTAATAATATTAATCTTGCGTTCTCCCACATTACATATGAAATATCCATCCTGTACTCAAATTCATTTTTGAGATGGAACAGTCAAATGTATGGTTGGATAGAGCAAGTGATCAAAAAGGCAAATTGTATGTTGGGCTTAAATCTCAAGAGGTTACAGGGATTGTGTTGGGGGGGTGGGGGGTGGTGGTTGGTGGGTTTGTGTGGGATGTTCTTTGGAGGGTCGGTGTGGACTGAAGGGCCTGCTTCCACACTGTAGGGATTCTATGATTCTACGACATGTGTACA